ATGAGAAAGGAGAAATTCACTCTTTCAGCGCTGAAGCTACCAGGGAGAAGTGCAAAGTCTGGCAGACCACTGCTCAGATCGCAGGCAATGCAAAATCTCGCTGGGTACCGCCGTCACACCAACACTGAAGAGGACGCTCGTTCTCGAAGAGTCTTGAATCAGCTTTTAGGAGTGAAGAGGTTCTCTTGGCTCCGAAGCGAAAACATACTGCGGTTGCGTTCACTTCCTCCTTTTATACTCACGGAGTAGGGCGGAGTACGCTATGCAAATTTCCGCAGCCCCAAGGCATTGCATGCCATTGGCTCGTGTTTAAATACTCGAAGAGGATTGGCTTTCTATGCGAAACCCCCAATCTCCGTCACTTCTGACGTAACTCGAAGTGACTACAAAAGGGAACATGGATTTACCATATAAGTACCGCCACAGTATTTTTTTTGTCTAAGAGCCTCGACATGTTCAGGGAATGTTTTGCTTTATTAATCCATCCCAGCTCCACCAGATCCCAGCAGAGATGGAGAGACATAGCGCAGTGCTGGCAGACGGCCAGGCAAATATCCAAAATAATAATCAGCAGATTTCAGCAACCTCCCTGCCTTTTCCCAGCCCCTTACCCCCACCTCTCTCCCTACTTTACCCTTTGTCTGTGTTTATAGATTTCATGTATACAAATATAGGTGCAGTGTATGCAGAGATGTGCTGATTTATATAAAGTTCACTGAACAGCACGGAAAATTAGTGCAACGAAAATGTATCAAGAACCACTTGTGCTGTGTCAGTGCTCAAGGTTGGCCCATTGATTTTCACATTACAGGTGTGGACTGTCCACACAAACGTGGCCAGCTCATCTATTGTTCACCAGCTCCTCCTGTGTGTGCAGATAATGCACCACCTAGTGTCCTTTGCTCAGATCCTGATAATGTTTGAATGGAACAAAGACACAATGTATGTTTATGCATGATATGAGTGTTTGGTTGACCATTCAGGTTAATGAATATAGGTAATGTATACATATAGCTTTACTGCACTATGCTCCATAAGATTATGTTCCTGCACACACACACAACAAATAAATAAATAAATAAATAAATAATAAATAAAAAAAATATGTAGAAACGCTACAGGAACAACTTTCATAAGTTAACTATTTTATTGAATATAAAGTAAAATTGTTATTTCATTAAATTATTATAGGTGAATTAAGGATTTTAAAAGTAAAATGACCACAATTTAAAGTGCAAATCTTGATTATACTCAAAAAGAGTATAAAAGGAGTGAGACAGCTTTCAGATTTAATCAAAAATATCTTAATTTGTGTTCCAAAGATGAACGAAAGTCTTACGGGGTTGGAACAACATGAGGGTGAGTAATTACTGACATAATTTTCATTTTGGGGTTAACTATCTCTTTAAGCAGAACAACTGATTTATGCTTGCTAATAAGATGGATCTTGAGCAGCAAATCAGTATATTAGAATAATTATTTCTGAAGGATCACATTGAAATCTGTAATGAATGAAAATTCAGTTTTGCCAAAATTATATCGTGTTAAAATTATGTTTTAAAACATTGCTGTGTCGGTGCTAAGCACATTTCTGGTGGGGCTATAGCAATCCTCTCCAGGTCAAAATTTCCAAAAACCCAACGTTTGATTTAAATGATATCAGAAAGTCTCAGATTCTGAGTTTTCTAATTTTAATTTTTGGAATAAGCATAAATAATGGATTACTATACATTTTTCTCACTCATTGTCAGCTTTATATTCCCCTAATTGAGTGAGTCCTGGACTTTCCAGCTCACATGGCAGATAGAGAAAAAATGCCATATGTGAATGAATGTGATGATAGTATTGCTCCATCACTGTGTCTTTATCTCTAGAGCAGGCGTGTTTGTGAGAGACTGTGTGTCGCCTCTGCATGTTTCTGGCCGCAGTCATCCATATTAATGAAGAAGAGCTGCCCTGTTCAGCAGTTCTGCCAAAGGGAATGGATTCTGGACATGGATATTCAGGTTTGATACAGCTTCATATGAAGATACAGCTTCATAAAGTGCTTTACTGCAGATTTCTGAAAGAACATTATGTCAACTATGTAATCGCTCAGGATGAATGGGGCACAGCAATGCATATACTTGTGTAATGCTAGTCCACTTTAGGCAAGTTGACGTGAACCCATGAGCCGTTTATTGAATCCAAACGTGAAAAGATACAAAATAAATACTTGACTTTACTATTCTAAACACAAAAAATTTAAAATGAGCAGAAACAAACTCACGAACAGCAGTTTACAGGGAACAATACTTGACAAGAGACCAACATGAGGACAATAGACACACTGTCAGAAAAAAAAGGTACAAAAGCTGTCACTGGGGCGGTACCTTTTCAAAAAGGTACACTTTTGTACCAAAAGGGTGCATATTGTACCATTTAGATACAAAAGTGTACCATGAAGGTACCAATGTGCACCCTTTAGGTACAAAAGTGTACCTTTTGAAAAGGTACCGCCCCAGTGACCGCTTTCGTATTTTTTCTGAGAGTGCAGGTTTATGTGCAACATCATCACAGAGATGCAACTAGGGGACAGAAAGCAGCACTCTTCATGGCATTTAAACAGAGATGACACGGAGCTTTTATACATACAATATTATATGTATTCCAAATAATATTGGCCTTTTATTCTATCAAATTAAAGAGATACTTCACTTCTGGAAAGATGAATGTGTATTTAAAATGGGTAATTTATGTAGAAGAAATGTGAAATTATTTTGAATTTGGAGCTTTTTAGAGTGAGAAAATCCACCTCTGCTAATATTAAACCATTGTGCATTACCTTGTGCTGTTCGAATGGTTGCATCAGTTGATCCATGCTGACTTCCCACAGTACTGAGTTCACCTCCATTCAGGTAATTCTGCTGTTATCGTCACACGACTGTGGTCTTCTGCCAGGAGCATCATGTCAATCTGCTGCTGCTGTCCAGAATCAGATGGTTTGTCTTCATCTGGCACCTCAGCTGAGACCTGTCCACTATGGGTAACCCTAGGAGTAGTTGTGTGAAGTACCAGTGGCATAGCTCTCAGCATCACTGATGCACACAAGCCCTCTAAGCACATCAAGCTGCAAAACGTGTGAGAGACCCTAACCTAACCTGCTGAAAAGCAACCGCATATCAACCAACTACAGAAAACATCCCAAAAACCACTAAGTCCAACAACTGCATAAAACCGGTTGACAACAATGCAATGCAGAAAAACTTCAACTTCAAAAACAGTAAAAACATCAGCGCACGAGAAACCACCAAAACTTCTTGACAGCCACAAACCAAAAAGCTAAAAACCACTCAGAACAACCTAGGAACCGCATATCAACGTACCGACAACCACACAGAAATGAGCAATACACCAACTTTTCAAAAATAAAAATTACTCTACAACGGCCCCATTGTGCAATACTCCAGCCTCCGACACTTTGATGACTCAGTGTCTGGGCTTCTTTTTTCGGGGTTCCTCGGGCAGGGGCTCTTCACTGATGTCCACGTGGATTTGTGGAAATACATATTTATTGTCTCGACTAAACTTATTGGTAGTTATAGACTCATACTAATTCATAATAATGTTCATGGCTGCAACAAAAGATATTTTTATAAATAAAATTCTGATAAAAAGGCTAAATTCTACAGTCTCTCTCTCTCTCTCTCTCTCTCTCTCTCTCTCTCTCTCTATATATATATACATATATATATATATATAACTTGGATATTTTAGTTATCTCAACTAATTAAATCCAGGACAGTTATTATAGTGCACAGTTTTAAATTGTGATAGCAAATTACAACAATATATTTTTCATATAATTATATATGTACTACTGACATGACAAACTTAAACTAAAACTAAAATGACAACTGACAATCTAAAAATAAAAGTAATACGGTAATGGTAGACAGATAATACTAAAATGAAACTGGCAAGTATAAGCTCAACTGAAGATTTTGCCAAAAAGCCCAATCTGTGCACATGATTCCAAACAGGAGATCCATGAGATGGTTTCAATCTGCTAGTTGAGTTGTAGTCATGCTTCAATGTCACTTTTTTTTTAGAAGGGGCAAATCACCTTGGGTTAATTGCCATTGGGTTAAAAAATAAAATTGAATCTAATCTAATCTTAAAGCTGTAGGCTGAGCCCAGCAATCCTTCATAAACCCGGCCCAGATACACCATCCTCCTCTCGGGTCACAGGGAAAGTTTCATAACACACAGTCATCCATATATTAGTCAGGATAGAGGAGACAGTTTAAACATTTCCGCTTCTGTGAAAACAATGAAGTGGAAACTGAACAACGTGGCTTGGTTTCTTATTAACATCATCCTCCTCAACAAATCAATTTAAGGAGAGCCTGCAGTAATGAATTATTCACTCTACATTGGAATGTGCAAAAAAACAAAACAAAGACATGGGTCCGAATGTGCTCCAAAAAAAGAGGGAGGGTGCCCTCCACTGGATTTTGACTTTAAAACACACTTATGGAATTGTCCTGACTTCTCTATAACTTTTCCTAAACATTTTCCTGTGTAAACCAGGTCATTCAGAAAGTTTTAGATTCTTGGAGGCTCGGAAATGAGTAAAAATACACGTTTACATATACCACTGATTGTGTCCTTTCCTGCGTCTAGACTCCCTGTGAGGAAAACCTAGCTATTCTGTGCAAACCACAGACAGCACTCTGCTTTTAGACCGGCCATCGAAACACAGCACTCCACCCTACAACAGGAAATAACTCTGTAATCTACTCAACTACACAGCAGCAGTGCACCACACTAGAGCTTTAAATTTTGCATTTATATCTAACAATGAAGGTTGAGTGGACAGGGAGAGACAGAAATAGTGACATTGTAATTATAAAACGGCCTAACAGCTGCTTAGGACATTTATGAAACAAATATATGTACATGTATGACAGTGAAGAGAGACATTCAGGCTGTCGTGAAAAGAGCACACACACAAAAGCTTTGGAGATGCACGGTTTATTCAGTGTGCAGCATCATTTCTGGTCGTGTCATAAAGCGACACCATCGATCAAAGCAAGTATAAACAAACTTGAGTGCCAATTTGAGACCAACACTTTGTTATAGGAATGAACAAACAGATGGGATGATTGATCTACAGCTGAAAAGTAGCAGAGGTCTGTGACATGGCGTTATAGAGGAACGTGTTGTTGAAAGGTACAAACTGGTGCGTGATGATTTTGATGGCTTCTTGAGCCGCTGATCCTGCAACAAAAGACAGACAAAGGACATTGTTCTACATTGTTCATTTCTGGATGGTTTCTAGACAAGACTCCGACTAAAAGGGGTGGTAAAGTATGATTTCACTTTTCTAACTTTAGTGTGTAATGTTGCTGTTTGAGCTTAAACAACATTATCGAAGTTACAACGCTCAAAGTTCAAAGCAAATGAAGATATTTGCTCTTAAAGAAAAGGACTACAACAAACGGCTGGTAGGGACTACACAACATTCCTCTAGGGTTAATGACATCACCAACCCTAAAATGTACATAAACCCCACCCATGGGAACACAGTCCATGTTGAGAAAAGCAAAGAGTACATTAGCGAGTCAGCTCAAACTTTAGCATCCATCTTTTCAAGTGCAAAATAGAAAGTCACTCTGTGTCCATCTCACAACAGTCCTATATGATTTATAGATACATGACAGACACACAAGCTCTTGAAACCCCGCCCTCTGCAGCAGCTCATTTGCATTTAAAGGGCCAGGCACAAAACGGTGCATTTTTGCAAACCCCCAAAAAGTGACAACTTTAAAATGCTATATAAAAATATCTGTGTGGTATTTTGTGATAAAACTTCACACACACACACACACACACACTCACACACACTGGGGACATCAGAGATTTATATCTTGTGAAGATGGCATTTTACCACCCCTTTAATTGGATTGAGATGGCAGTGGGAACGTCACTTACATAATACATTTATGGTTGGTTTAACCAAACGTTTTCAGTAATTGACCTAATTTTCTGTTCACTATTTTAGAAAGATTCTGACAGTAAAGAATGCTAAATAGGAATAAGAAGTAAAAATAACTAAATACATTTAAGAGCTTCCATGAAAATGGACAAACACAGAAAAAAGAGACAGGATTTGGGGAAAGCAACTAGTGATTCAAATGAATCATTCATAGGTTATTGTTCATTAAATCAGTTGACCAGACCATATGACTACGGTGTCTTTGGTATTTTTCTCACTGTGACAGCAGAAAAGAAAAAGCAGATAGGCTATGGCTTGGCAACAATTTCATGAATCACATCATGAAAATGGAAATTAATCTAGTCTAACAGAAAATGCACAACCCACTCTGTGAGTGACATAATGATTATGTGTAGCGCATCACTCAGTACAGCATACTACTTAAGCAGCTGAATACGTATAACGAAAACTCAATAGCATTTACATACTTAATTGAATGTGGTACAAATTTGTCCCTGACCACCTGCAAATGTGGTTTTACTGACTCGATCATGAAATGAACTCAAAAAAGACAAATGTATCTTGGATGCATTTACACCCGGCTTTTGCAAAGTTCTTTAAGTGCTATCCAAAAGTAATAATGAAAGTTATAATGCCATCAGTAAAGGAGAATATGATCTGCCTTTATACAATAAGATCTATATAGAAGAGGAAGTCACAGTATGCATTATGTGTGTTTGATGGAGTGTTTTACAGGCTTCTGAATAAATACATAACACTCACCTCCCAGAAAAGCTGCAACAGTGTGTGGCTCAGCAGCTCCATAACGGCAGCTGAAAGATATGAAAATAACATTTACACTGTTACAATTTAATTATAAACCAACATGACATCATGACTTTTGCGTAAACATACACGCCACTTTCGAGTCAAGTGGCGTCTTATCTCTACACATCTTGAGCTATCCGCATGTATGCGTTTATGTCTACGCCATTAACGTCCGAGTGATTCCGCGTGTCTGTACACGCCGTCAAATGTCTGTGCGAAACGAAGCAAAATGTAGATCTACATCTGGGGAGCTATCTTTTTTTTTTCCTAGGATGGTAAGGGAACAGTCATAAATGCCATTAACCCCAGTGACAGTTAGATTTAGGGACGGGGTTGAGGTAAGTCATATATTTATACATACAGTAATAACGTTAAGTCAACGGCGTTCATAAACACGCTGAAAAGCGATTATGCGTCTTGATAGCACGGCAAAAACGGAAATACGAATTGGCATGTCATACACACGCTACTTCATGAGATCAGTCTGTATAAACAGTGACCAGGAGAACCTGTGCTTTTTATTACCAATTTTTCAAAACAAAATCTAATATAAATATGTAGTTTGTACCGCCTCAATCCAAAGAGTTCTGAGCAGTTCTAACTATGAGCTTAAACTTACAACTCATGGACGTAGTCATCTTTCACATTGACATTCAGACCGTACTCCTGTAGAAAACTGTTTACACACAGCTTGAGTTTGTTAATGTCTTCCTCCACCTGGTAATTGTAGACACCTGAGAAAAACATTATACTCTATTATATCAGACTGAAAGAGTTCATATATATATAATATATATATATATATATATATATATGAGAGAAATGTACACGTGCACACACACTCTAATTCAAAAGTATGGGGTCAATTATAATGTAACTCCTCTGACCTGGGTAACGTGAGTGTTGCTGATAGAAGCGATCGACTGAGCGGAGCATGAGGTACAGAACCATCTCACTGTCCAAGCTGTCCATACAGGACGCTACGGAGACAGAAACGACTGCTTAAATACACACAGCAAGACATGTACACAACAATGAACCATCATATTCCATGTTAGTAAATCCATCTAAACAATCCTGTACAGTGACCATAACATTTACAAACAGAGCTAAAACATAGTCAGGAAGAGCACCGTAGAGAAAACGTACTGATTTCATCTTTATTGAAAGTGTCTACACTGTACTCTTCTGCCAGAGATCTGCAGCGCACCACTCGGAGGAAAGCTGCGTTCTTACCTGTGGGACACAACACAGGCATTACCCAAGGAAGTTGATAATACAGTGTGTGAAGAAAGCCTGTTAGCATTCCCAAAAATGGGGAAAAGTAATTGCTGGAAACATTAACATCACGCATGCAAACATACTAATGGAATAGGAAACATGATGCAGTAGATCATGGGATTTTTCAGTGTTAGTAAAAGTAAACTTGATTACTTGAAATTCTGAAGCACATTTAAAGGGATAATTCACCCAAAAGTGAACATTCTGTTATTACAGTAATTCATGACACTAATACCGTTCATTTATCTTCTAAACACAAATTTAGATATTTTGAATGAAATCTGAGAGCTTTTCCGTTGACAGCTATGCAATTACCACTTTGGCGCTTCAAAACTTTCATAAAGAGAGCAAAACGAATTCATATGAATTGATCGGTTCAGTCCAACATTTTCTGAGAGAAAACATGATCACCTCATTTGAACAGATTGAATTTAGGCTAGTGTTGTCAAAAATACCGACTTGGTTACATGTTTTTGAAGTGCCGATCATTGTAGCCAATCAAAGACATATCCGATGAGTGCATGAACACATCGGTGTTTACGATTCCATTCAACAGTGCTCAGTGTCACTTTTTTTACAATTTTTATTTAGTTCCAACTTGGTAAAGAAGTCTGTACTTTTGACAACACTAATTTATAATTTTATACACATATAAACATTGATCAGCGAACATAAATTTAACGGAACATACTTGATGTGCGAGAACAAACCTCATTGGTGGAAGCTCAAAATAATGCATAACACGAGAGTGAACCTTCACAAGAGAACATGCTTAAGGTTCTGTTGATCATAACTGATGTGTGAGTTGATGAATACACTAATAATATGATATGTGAATAAAAGCCTAAATTAAATCTGTTTAGCGTAAAAAGCAGTTGTGTCTCTTCAGAAAATGTGGACTATACTGTTCAATTTAAGACATACTTATACGTATGTTATACTTACGTATACGTATCTTATACGTATATTATACTTATATCAATTTAAGGCATACGCATACGAGCTGGAGAAAGTCATTTGGCATCTAGCCTTTAACGTTGGAATACTAGTTTCATGACAAAGTCCCAAAACTGAAAATGTTCTCAGAGAAAAAATTATGAAAGTGTGCATTCTGAACTTACAGAAGAGTTTGATTTCCTGTTCAGAGATGCTCTCTGGAGTCTTTGGAATAAACAGATCATTCAGATCATTAATATGAATGTGCAAATAAAAGAACTGCACTTTTTACACAAGAGTAGGTTGATTAAGTGAATACCTTGCCAACTGATTGTAGAAGCGTTTCAACATGTTTGGACACAACAGCTGTGTCCTTCATGGCTTTGTCTCTGTAGCTGAAATTGAAAACGTCAAACAAATACCATTTTACCAAAAACACAGTCAGTAGGAAATTTGATCTGAAGCCGAGAGATAATTGTAATTTAGCAATCACCTGACCAGTATCAACTGTTTGTCAATTTACAATACCAGGCAAATTTCACAAACGCATCACTGATGAAGTTTCCTGACTCATTGTGATTTGAAAGCGGAATACCTACACGTTTTGTAACTTGATGAATTTGTCTGAATCAGCAATCATATCTGGGATGGTTCCTCGCACAGGGAGGTTTCCGTTCCCCTCGTTCTGAACAAAGTCCCTCACTCCATGTGCCATCACCCAGAAGGATGCACTCTATCATAAGACAAATTAAAGTTACTGGTGAACTGATATTATATATATATATATATATATATATATATATATATAAAATAAATAAATAAATAAAAAATCACACATAAAACAGATGGATGTTATCTTACAAGGGACTTCAATTCTATTAAATTCAAACATATTGATGATTATTTGTTTAATTTAGATATATCCATGCATTCATTATTCATTCATTTTACCACAGCGAATAAGTGGAAGGTAACAGCTGCTTCTTTTGAAATTTCCAGTAACCACTGGGAGCCAAATGCAGCAACCGTATGCGGATGTTGGAAATTGGAAGTTTAGAAATAGTTTTGCATATCCCTACTAACCTGTGAGGTAATGTTTTCACACTGTTCAGCATTAAAAATGTCCTCCGTTGCACTGGAGACCTACATCACAGTGAATTGAAGACAAAGCTCAATTCAAATAAAATGTAAGGAACACAAACACTAACTACAGCTCTTCAAATGTAAGGAGCTCCACCTTGGTGGGGTTCAGAGCCGTGTTCACATTCTTGATCGCCTCCTCAAAGTTCTCTTCATCTTCAGGTGTCCCGTTCTCATTCTTTAGAATTCCTGAAAAAGGAAGGGAAAACCCTCAACAAACGAGGTCCGAGGTGAAAGGAAAATGAAATTGCAACACTGCAAATCTCTGATATGACACATTATATTACCTTCTCTAATGAGTTGTCTAAAAGCTTCCTTCTCTTTATAATTCTTCGGTAAGTGAGAGTTGTGCTGGATCCAAAAAATTAAATAAAATAAATATAAATGTCTGACATTAAGGAGGTCTCATGGTCAGAATCTTTTAAGAGTATGTCAAAAATCACCTCACTATACCACTTTTCCAAGTATTTGGCAACCACAATGACCCATGGTGTATGACTGTGATCCTAAAACAAAATAAAGATTAAACTGCTATCAATTTTAAGTACATGCAAACCTTAAAAATTCAGTCACATAAAGCAAAAAGACAACGTTCGGTCATCATCTTTAATCTGACCTTCTTCTCCATGTTGTCCAGGTCATAAGACTCTACGTGTTGTTTGAGCTCTGAAAACGGCTGGTTTAGTCTCAGGTCCTCTAAGGCATTATCTGGATGAGACTCCACCACTACAGTGAGAGAAAGTCTTTATGTAAAATAAGACTGGTTTAGGTCCATTTCCATCAAACACTATTCATAGTCTTTCATAAAATAAAGATTTGTTCATAAACTTACAACTCCATCTAGCAAATTGTCGGACCACAAGTCAAACATCCTATTGCATTGCCAATAAAAACACATTTTGCTTTAAGCAACTATGATTATTACCTGTGTGCTCCTTCACAATCAGCCTCATGTAACCAATGAGTCCATATGTTCTACACACAAGGAACGGCACACCAGCCTCCCATAACACAGTGGCCAGCCTCAAGCATGTGCTGGCAATTAATAAATCAAAAATAACATGTTAATATAAGCTGATTTGAAAAAAAAAAAAAAAAAAAAAAAAAAAAAACAATATCTACAACCCATTAAATTTTAGCATATGTATATTTTTTTAACATACCTGCTTGGTAATGCGTTTAAGATTTTTAAATAATGAAAGCACAATATATTCAGATTTGTGTTTTAGTAATACCTTTCTGGAAGCTGGACGCCAATTACCAGACTAAATCTGTGAAAAAACTCAGGGTCGTTGTCCAAAAGCTTATCGGGACACTAAAGATAATACAAAAAATACATACTTAGATGAAAACTCGATAAGACACACTACCTCTCACTTGACTGAATTTATGTCACTCACAATCTTAAATTCCTTTTAATATACAGGTGTATGATTAAATGCTCGCTATTAGTTTCATAACAAAATGGCACCAACTTACATTACTGTTCACAGTATTTGGGGTCAAAATCAGTTCTTTTTTTTTTAAAATGTTTTGAAAGAAGTCCCTTATGTCCCTTACAGTAAAACGAACATACTGTAAAATAACAGTTTTCTATTCCTGTGATCCAGTTTTCAGTGCACATAACCATTCAGAAATTATTATAATATACTGATTTGGTTCTCAAGAAACATTTATTATTAATAACAATACTGAAAACAGTTGTGCTGCTTAATATTTTTGTAAAAAAAAAAAAAAGGCAGGTTTATTTGATTGGTAGAATGTTCAGAAGAACAGAGTTTATTAAAATTTTTGTAACATTATAAATTATTTTTTTTACTGTCATTTTTTTTAAAATCATTTTAATGCATCCTTGCTAAATGAAAGTATTAATTTCAGACTAAAAGTATAATTGATCGATTGACCCCAAACATATTAAAAGCAGTAAATGTTGTTTTTTTTTAACTAACATTTAAATTTTAAGCTATAATATTGACAAAGGGTGGAAACTTTGAACGATAAGATTGTTTTGATTTATTTCAGTCACTACATAATTCCTATAGACCATTTCACAAGATGTAAACAACACTGGTCCAGAAACACTTCCTGTTTCAGTTTGTAACTGTTTTCTTTATTTCACATGTAAAGAAAACATCTTAAAGATGTTTGTTTAACTTTTTGATTCAGTTTTAAATGTTCTGTTGGTTGTATTTTATCCCAGCTTTTATGTAGTGTTAAAAAAACTGAAACAGGAAGTGCTTCTGGACCAGTGTTGTTTACATCTTGTGAAATGGTCTATAGTTTCAATTTCATAGTTTTGAGCATGTGTCCAAACTTTTTACTTTTCACTAGGCCGTTAAATAACATATAAAGCTGACTTACTGATTGATTGATTAGATGATTGATTGATTGATTGATTGACTGTATAGTTTAATGCCATGCCAGCATGACTATATTCTTGATGAGAAAAAAGGTGAAAATTTAAAAAGTAATAACAAACATAGAATCTTTGTTTATAAAGTTTATCTTTGTTAATAAAAAAAATTTAAACTACTTAAACTACTAAGACTACAGTCCTGCAGGTTAGGCATTGTTTTTGTTTCTATAAGACTGTACATAAATGTCAAGAAGATTTCAGTTACATAAAAACATATATTGGTCTAATTTGATATTGAAAAGTAAGACTGATTACCCCTAACTAACTGCTAGTTGGCCACACTAGTCTTAACATATTGCAACTGGCCCCTGGTCTTAATACTGATAGTAAAACCACAATACATCATATGACATTAACACTGACCTCTTCCACAAAGTTTCCAGACACATCACTGTTGAGCTCCTGGAGCAGTTCAGTAGCAGCCTGAGCCCTGTTCTGCAAAATATGCACATCATTCAGAATGTGTCACACTTGTAAAGTGTTTTTTATTGAAACACCCACACAGATCTGCTTACCTTCCCAATGCTGCTGTTACTGAGAAAAAAGCTGCAGAAAAAGATCACAGCATGACCAGGTCTTCTTCAGAAGCATTTTCTACACTGTGCTATGCGGTATATTTATCTGTACATCACAATGCATTCAATAAACTTAAAATCTACTTGAGATTATCATAAAAACCAAGAGAATGATGAGGCCAATAAATGTACTTGTTTCCAACATCTTCCCCTAAGACTTTGTGTCCATCGACTATGGTAAATGCTCCGATTCCTAAGTAGGAGAACAGAAAATATCATGTTAACACAACAAAACATACAGATTCCCAGTGTCATGATTTGAGGTGTTCAGTGTTGAGTGAGAGTTACCTGGCAGGACAAGGTTCTTGAGGATTTCAGTGCCGGATGCAGTGGCGTTGATGAGACACACATGGGCATTTTCAAGTGCTTCCTGCCCATGATCCCCCCACAACCTGATACAAACAATAACCAACTCAAAAACCTATGTATAAGAATAGCTATAATAATATCATCTGAGAAAAACACAGACAGACAGACAGACAGACAGACAACAGTCAAGCTGATGAAAACATCAAGTGGTTTCTGCTTAGCCGTGTTATTACCAGGCAATGGAGTTAGACTGATTATGATTTAGTGTATTGAATTAAAGCATGATGAATCAATCTGATGAAACTCTAACATGTTTAAAGCTTTAGCCATGACCGATGGGCCTCTATGTATGTCAACGAATGCAAAATGAAAGGCTAACGTTAAACGTAATGATGAAATGGAATCACTGTGCATGCATATTGCATTATTCTGTGGTTTAATAAACAGACTGATATATCTATAAATATACATACCTGAGCTGTCGATCATACTTCTGCTCTTTGCTCGTTTTGAGGTCTGTCATGGTCCTCGGTCTCTGTACGTGACGGCTTTTTTCTACCGGCACGCCGCTGTTTCACTATTTTCAGATCGACAGTCGCAGATTCGATGCAGACAGGCATGTTCTTCTTCCCTTTGACCAGGAGGTGGAGCCATTGCGCTGCTTGAAATGTGAACGATATCTCACCTCTTTTCTTTTCTGTACAATAATTCGATTTTGCATAGGGTGAATTACCCTAATGTGAGCCATTTTTTTGCACTTCAGACTTCAGTGACATATTGCAACGTGTAACCAAAACTTTAAATCCACACCCAATACCATTTTAGCCCCCACAGACCCTGAAGTAGATCCAAAAATTCAGAAAGCCTCAAGCCACTGCTTGCTTCCTCTTTTCGTTTCTTTAATTTTTGAAGCAAGCAGCAGGACTAAAAGATTGAGAGAGGTGACAGTATGTTAGCAGGATTGTGGTCATACAGAAATACGACCACATGGAACAGATAAGGACTTCACTTTTGTGGAGAAAGTAGTCTCTAGAATCAACAATAACTTTATCTGTCTTCATCCAGAAGGCCTTTTACCTTTGCCTTAATAATAAAAAAAAGAAAGGTGAACAGAAAGTAAAAAGAAAGTGTGGAAACTACACTTAATTAATTGTATATCATTGCATTATGTAAAAAAACGTCCAACCAATTCAACATTCCAAGAACATTTTTGTTTTAACTACAGTTTGTCTTTGGCCCTCAAGGTCACACAAGTGCAGTTAATCTAGCAGTCTCTAAATAGAATTTGTTTTAAACTGCTTTTGGTAGTGTTTAAAAGTGCTTGTGTTGTCTTTTTTAACATAAACATCAAAAATATTGCATGAAAACATTTTTATTTGTGGCACAAAGTGTAGCTGCCATTTAATTCGCAAATATAATGACAACGTCAAATAACAATGTCAGAAACATTGACAAATAGATTATTAAAATAATTTTTATTTTGTACATATTTGATAAAAAGACCAAACACAATATAAAATATATATGAAATCTTGCCAACCACCAAATACGGCCAAAGAAAAATCCCTGTATAGTTTCAACTGGATGTTATCCAGAAGTCGAGTCTAAATACGGCACTGATCTTCCTTAACTCTCCTACAGCCATGCCAGAGATTCCATTAGGAATTACATATAGGAACTGTTTTTTAAGTGTGAGCAGTAATCCATCATTCATTTCAACCTCCACACATCACCCTCCTATTACAGTAAAAGCATTTATAAGGCTTCACTGGTAGCACAGGAAAATTCACTACAGTGCAGTGCTAAAAAAAGAGTCTGTAAAGACTTACTTCATGGAGTCACAACAATCGGATAAACAGAAATGTTGTCTACGTACTGTATAACAATGAGACATTTCAGTGTAATAATGCAACATTAAGTATTAATGATTCTGCCACCATCAGGTCTATGTTCTTGAAAGCACCAAACAGCCTAAATGACACAAGCCTTATCAAAAGTTACCAAGAGCCTCTGGTGGAGACTAACGGGTTAAATTTCAGGCTCCTGGATTACCGACCCTTTCCTATAGCGGTGAGAAAGCAGACGACAGCCGGCTTGTCAGACCCCATCAGCTTGGACCCTTTAGAAGCACAAATATCTCCTGCAATAAGGATCTGCATACACAAGCCTGATCAAGGTGGATGAGAAGGGATCTAAAACTGTAGAGCCTCTGATTCAAAGAGCTCAATGTGAAAGTCAAACTGTGTTCGAGGTCATTGGCCAAAACATTTAAGCAGCAGACAGTGACATGATTAAAAAAAAAACCAAACCCTTCGAAGTATGGTTGATCACAATAAGCAAACGCGCTACTTAAAAGAGGCCCGCACTTTTCTGCCTTTCAGTGGCTGTGGTGGTCGGAAGTTGTTCTCCATGTTCTTTCGGTCCTCTTCCTCCTCTCCGTTAAACAGCAGCATCCGGAACTTTCCCATCTAAGTCCAGAAAACAAGACAAACAGCATGTAAGGCAGCAGAACCTGGCAAAGTGACAGAAATCAACTCTGGTTCCACATGTTATGCAACAGGCTTGGTTCTCCATGCTGTGAATCTCCTGAGCTTTTTCCATTTTAAGCTCAATCAATCATTTTAATAAGCTGTACAAGATCAAAGTCTTGTGGCCTCATGCCAGACGCGCCAGGCCGCTTTCACGGCTGTGCTGCCAACATGCCAACCTGCTCATGCTTGCTTTAATGCAATTTCCTTTGACAAAGTCTGAGGGATAGACAAGAGCCGAAGACCAAATCCACAGCAGTCTCTTAGATGGATACACATCTATGCATCTGAAATGGAAATCTAGTAATATGAAACTTCATAGCAGAGGACATACATACCGTTCAAATTTCTGGGGTTAGTAAAATTAACGTTACTGAAAGAAGTGTCTTGTGCTCAACAAAGCTGTATTTATTTTACACAACAATAAGAATAGTAATATTGTGAGAAGTTATTACAATTTAAAATTAGGGTTTTAAAATGCAAAGTAGTCCTGTGCTGGCAAAGCTAATTGTTTCAGCATAATTACTCCACTCCAGCATCACATAATCCTTCAGAAATCTTTCTAAAATGCTGATTTGCTGATCAAAAACATTTCTTATTATTACCAATGAGAAAAGTTTTTGTGGCACACCATGATACATTTTTCAAAAGAACAGCATTTATTTGAAATATCAATATTTTGTAACATTTTTCATGTCATTACTGTGATTTTTAATAAGTCTAATGCATCCTTGCTGAATAGAAGTATTCATTTCTGTAGTGTATGCTGCACAAGTATTGTGCTTATAAGAAGGATTTCAACTGCGTTTAATGCCAAGACATGCCTATCTTGTCTGAATGAAACAAACTTTGACATGAACCATCCCATTGCAAAGGACTCACTCAGACTCATATCAAGCATACATACCAAGTCCATTCACATTCATACAGTATAGCAGAATAAGAAATAAAAACATTCATTTATACCTATCGTGCATGTTAATGTGGTGCCTTGACTGATCAGGGCTTTAGTTATGAGCTAAACACCATAAGGCTTGTGTTAAGTATTGTTATTAAAAATGTTTAATATATACGGCTTTTATGAATAATAAATATTATAAATAATTATTTACTAATGCAAAACCAATTGAAAACAGAACCTCACGTCCAGGTCATTTCTGACCAGGTTCACGATCATCACCAACATACTGGGATGTTATGGACTATCCCTAATTTACATCACTACCAATGATTTTGATTCAGCGGGAGTGGTTCCCACATCCATCTCCCTCCACAACCATTCATTTTCATAAAATGACATCTGTCAATAGACCAGAGGATGCTCATGACAAAACACTAGCAATACAGTTCATTAATAAGGAACTATCAAGTTTATCGTGTGAACAAAATAATGAAAAAAAAAAAAATCAATCACAAAAGTAACCCACCTGCTTCTCGGACACATAAATAGGTTCTTTCAGCACAATCCAAGTGACGCTCTCATACAGTGGAGGAGTGGTGAGAGAGCCTGGGTACGTCCAATATTCCAGACTGTTGGGCAGGAGGCACTTTGGGTTGAAGCCCTTAAAATCAGCTACACTTCCCTAAGAGAAACAAAGAAACGTGAAAGGAGTGTACTGCAGAGCTAAAGATGCTCTCAACAGGGATGCAGGGGACGCACACCTATATTTTCATTAATGGTCGACTAATATGACTTTTGAAATGCCTAGTTCTCAAAATATTACATTTAATCTTCTACAATTGTGATCCGAATAATCAGATCATTTATTAATGTCAAATACTCAAAATACAAGAGCCAATACCACTAATCTGTGGTGGTGTCAAAAAAAATAAAAAAAAAACCCTGAGAGGGGCTGATTTGAATTCTTAAAACCTGATTAACATATTTCAAGACATACATTTCCAAATGAAATCACATGCAAAGAGGCATCTGGGTGTTTTCAAATCCAATCAGATGCAAAAATGGGGATTAAACCGCATTGGAAAGCTATCTGAAGACCTCTATTGTTTTAATATATTCATTCATGCTTTCTCTCCGTAATAGCCAAAATAAATTTATATTTGTCGAAATGTATATTTATTTAGATATATTTGCCGTTTTTTTTTATTAAAAAGAAATAGGATATATATATATATATATATATATATATATATAGGATAAATAAAAACATTTACCTTGAATTTAACCATATACAAGGCATCTGTTATCTGATGAAGAGCACGGTGTTCATCACCTGACTAAAAAAAAAACAAAAAAACAACAACAACAAAAAAAATTAAAAGGGATATTTTTTATAATAGGTACAAAAAAAAAAGCACTGTTTTGATGGTCCACTTTAGACATTCTACTAGGCCTAACTATAAGTAACTTTGCAATGACATGTCAACTAACTATCATTAGAGTATTAGACTGGTAGGGTTAAAGGACAACTCCGGCGCAAAATGAACCTTTAGTCTAATTACACATTGTTACCTAGTCAACCGTTATCTGAGATTTGTTTTCATGATTGCCGAATGTAAATAGTTTTATCTCTAAAAACAGTTTAGCCTATAACGCTAGTATAGGCTGATAAGGTGATAAGGTGATAAGGTGAGCGCGAACAGTAGGCTACGTGTACATATTGAAGACAAGTAAACGGTTTGTGTTTCTTCTGGAAACAACGGATCATATGAGATTCTGCACAGTTCAGCGCACTTGGATCGGCGTTCGTAGATCGACTGGTAGAGACTATTTTTCAAAGATGGCTTCTTCCTGTATTCGCGAAATTTACTGTGTGTATAAAATATCTCCTTATTAAACTGTGTGGACACTGACAAAGTTCTCAACGCTTCGGTTTGAAAGTAGGGACCCTTGTTATGCTGTCGTTTTGGTGTGGGGCTATTTTGAGCCTTGTTAGTGGTAACAAGCGATTTTTATTTGTCATTACTCTATGCCCTATATACTAGCATTATACTAGCGTTATAGGCTAAACTGTTTTTAGAGATAAAACTATTTACATTCGGCAATCATGAAAACAAATCTCAGATAACGGTTTACTAGGTAGCAATGTGTAATTAGACCAAAGGTTCATTTTGCGCCGGAGTTGTCCTTTAATAGAATATGTTGATATAGTTGCAAATTTACTTATAGTCAGTAGAATGTCTGTTGGGGAGCATCACAATAACGTATAAGTAGACAGTCTACTGATACTCTGGTAGTTGACATGTGGTTACAGCTACTTATAGCTATAACTTAGAATGTCTAAATTGGACTGCTGAAATAGTGTTATATGACATTTTTATCTTTGACAGGACAATAAGTTAAATTATACTCATTCTTCTATAGCCTATGCCCGTTTATTTATACCGTAACCATTATTCTTTTTCAATTTTCTTATCCTCCTAAATTGAATAATGTGATTCTAATACAGATCACACGCTCTTGAACTAATGCTGTATAATGTGGTTCTTCAACGAATGCCGATTCACACTAACTTCCAGAAAGATGCCAAGGACAGCCAGGCCATCAGGGGCTGCTGCTGCCTCACCAAAGGACTTGTACTTTATGGCGTTCCAGTGAACCAGATGAAGCTGGAGAGAGACAGAGGTCACGCCAGGATTGTTTAAAGCACAGAAAGCGAGAACATGTACAGCGAGCAGACGGAGTGCCACTGTCCTGCACCCTCACCTCAGACACATATGTTTTCCCACCAACCGTATGCTCAGAACCACTGCAACCCTTGCCTCCCCAGTGGAAGTGAAACTGTTTAAGTCTGTACATGTTTTCCAGAGGCCCTCCTCGGATTACTGCCATGAGAAAAGAGCATTTAAATGGAAAAAAATAACAAGGTCTATAGACTATTTTTTTTACATTTATGCATTTAGCAGACACTTTTATCCAAAGCGACTTGCATTACATTTCAATGTGCACATTTCACATTCAGTTCTTGTTTTCCCTGGGAAACGAACCTATGACCTTGGCGTTGCAAGCACCAACGCTCTACTGTTTTTAGAACACTGTGTCATGCACGAAATGTTGCAAACCTGTCTGTGTGACATATTGTCATTGGAAAACAATGGAAAAGCAGAGCAGTGAAATGCACAAAGATGTTCTCCAATAGATGTTCTCCACAAAGATGTTCTCCATCTCCAAAAGATGTACATCCAATAACTTGCATTGTAAAGTGACTATCGCCTTTTTTCTCAGACTCACTCAAAGTGCACTGAAGGGAAAGACAACAAGAATCTACTAGCATGAAGCATTGTAACTCATGACTTGATCTCCATACATTTACACAACTGAATTGCATATAGCACAATGACATGCATGACAAATTTAGATAAATGATATGAAATGGATGGTTGGTATCTTGCAAACCCAATGTCAACTATAGTCTAAATCAGTGTTTCCCAACCCTGTTCCTGGCGGCACACAAGAATACTGGTTCGTATTAAAATACACCTGATTCAACTCATCAGCTCATTAACCCATCTGATTGATTATGAGCTGATGAGTTGAATCAGGTGTGTTTGATACAAAGAATACGTATCCCCCCCCCCCCATTAGTTTGTACCTAAACTTAAACGGAAATCAGTTTGCCTCTGCGACTAACTGATTTTCTTTTTTCATTTAATGTTTTTCCATTTAAAGATTTTATTTTACTTTATTGCAATTACCAAAAGCAATATTTAATAGTTTTAGTTTTAATTAACAGTAGCAAAACTGGTACGGCCTTATTCAAAAACACACACTACAAGTCAGTAATTCATATTTCATAACATCTAATTATCATCTGGTTAAGGTTCTTCTAAATAAGCCGCTGTATAGCATTCGACAGTCTCACAGTGGTCTTGCACAACATTAGAGCTGTAAAAACCCAAACATGCAGAACTAAACGTTGCCTGGTTAAAGCCGTGTCTTTTTTTTGACAGTTACATTTTATAGCCGTAATAATCTTGTCACTGATACCAACCTGATCTCTCATCTGAGTCAATGAACTCCACTACTACAGAATGGCCATTGTTTGATATGGTAAGGGAGGTACAGTTGTTGTAAGACAGCGAGATAGGAGACAGTCTGGCGTCAAATACAGCTTCTGCAGGGACTATATCAATAGGTGATTGGCGGTTACCCTCGGCAATGGGATAGTCTTTGAGCCATGCTGATGGACCTAGAAAACAATGTTTAACAGAAAAGTAATAAGCAAAAGCACAGTGTCACACCTTATACTGTATTGGTGATGAATTGAATGATGATGATGAATCAAGATGATGAATTTAGACAAATAACACAGTGAAATCGGTCGCAGCTATTCATTGTTAAACAATTTTTAACACACAGGCCTACAATGACACATTTTTATTGTGAGTGTGACAAACAACATAGTCTTCTGATGTATGTCTGTTGTTTTTTTTTTTTTTTTTTTTTTTTTTTTTTAACAGAGCAGACCTACAGCCTTGCTATGTTTAAGCAGCAACTATCCCTTTAAAAGATAACTGGGCTAATCTCGCATTAACCGTATATTGGGCCGCAAAATGTGCTACTGGACATATTAATGAATGAATGAATGAATGAACGAGAACATACACAAAACTGCCCCAATGCATGTTAGCTATTGATCAACAAAAGTCTGTTAAATAGACATTCAGAAAATGTCTTTAAGACGTTTAGAATAAAGAATGTATGAAAAAAGAATGTATGAAGGGGTATGTTTTTGTCTTCTTCTTCTTTTAAGATATTTTTCAGATAGGCTACACAACAAAATTCCATATCAAGATGAAGCGCAGCCTATGCTAATTGGATGAAATTGATCATTAAAGTTATTTAAATGTTTTTCTTTATGTTGATTTTCTGTCTTGCATTTGATCAAATTATGGACGTCATTTTTTTTAAATGTGAAAATTAGCTCGCCTAATTGGTCGACTTTAATCGCGCAAGCTTTATAAATGTAGGCCTATATAAATGTTATATAAATATATATGTAAGGCCTGCATATTTATATAAAATAAATAAAAGTCTAGGCTACTTTTAAAACATATAGCTTATTAACGCGAAGCACAACCGGTGTTTGGCAGTGGTCAACATGGATTCACAAAACGTGTTTTATGGAATGATGCCTTTAGCATTCTTATAACGGTAAATTGACTTACCGTTGTCCTTCCCATATCCCCAGTGACAGCCAGTCATTGCTCCCTCTTCTCTGAGCAGCGGATAAGGTGCTGTAGGCTATGTGTGTGCAGTCGGAGAGTGTGTCTTGAGTGCACCTGTAGAGTGTGTGGATCAACTCGTAAGAGGTAACAGAAGCGGGCTGTGATTGATTGACAGATGAGCTGATCTGCTCAGGCCCCGCCTCCTCTAAAGCCGATTGCACTGTCCGCACCATACAGGACTTCTGTCTTGTTGAATACTTTGATTCAATTGCATTTAATTGAACTTTCTACTAGTCTACTGATGTTTTATAATGATAGAATTGTTTATCACTTTTTTGATGTTTGTTGATGCTGAAAAGGGCACAAAATGAAAGAAATACAGCAGTCATAGCCCTAATTATGTTAAAGGAGTTCACTTTAAAATAAAATTTTCCCCATGAAAAAAGTTTTACAATGGCAGTAGATTGCATACAAGATTGAAGCTCAAAAAGTGCATCCATCATAAACAAACTCCACACACTCCAGTTAATAAAGGCCTTCTGAAGCAAAGTTTGTGTAAGAATATTAGGCTATAAGGCTATTCACATTTAACACAAAATAAAAGTGGAATCCGAATTAAGTTTTAGATATGTTTTAAGTTTACTTAGGCTACACAAACTCATTGTTGTCAAAGTACAAATGCCAACAAAGCATGACATCAAAATGACAGCAAGGTCAACATTTTTACATCAAATTGACATAGTCACGTCAGACTTTCATTTGTTACCTAATTTATGTGACATGATTTTGACATCAATGTTTGATGTCATATTGATGTTAAATTGACATCAAATGCCCTTGGAAGTCATATACATGACTTGAGGGTGAGTAAATCATGGGCTTATTTTCATTTGAAAGTAGAACTTTAAAACAAAATATCTGATGAATTGACATTATATAGTGCATGTATTGCAGAAGCATTTGACTAAATAAACCTAACAGGGTGGAAATTCTAATAGAAAAAATAGTATTTAATGTATATAGCAAGTTCTATGTACGTATGCATCTATCTATCTATCTATCTATCTATCTATCTATCTATCTATCTATCTATCTATCTATCTATCTATCTATCTATCTATCTATCTATCTATCTATCTATCTATCTATCTATATGTCTGTCTGTCTGTCTGTCTGTCTGTCTGACTGTCTGACTGTCTGTGTCTATATACAGTATAGGTGGTAGCACAGGCAAATGGCTGCCTGCTGAGCATTTCTGCTTGCCGCACCTCCGACGGTGCCATTATTATATATTATATATTATATAAAGGTTATTTATATAGTATACCACCCTATGCTGAGATGGTTCTTTCCCTTAGAGTTTAAAGTTCTTTTCCCCTGTCGTTTTGCTTTTCTTTTTATTTTGTTTGTTAATCTAGTAAGTTGATGTTAAACACCACAAAGGGCATCACTGTCCATTACTGTTCCTTCTTGTGATGAATTTTGTATTTGTTTGTTAATCTAGTTAATTCAAATGAATTATATCATCTTTATTTTTAATCAAATATAAATAAACAAAAATCTAATTTATTATGTCTGTCTTCTCTAATTTGTAAATATTTCTCTAGCCATCCGAAGAGAGAATTGTTTTGTTTTGCCCCCATGATCGATTATAATGAGGAACCACATAGATATTTTTTGTGTCCCTCCCCCAAAGGAAATTTGGATTTTTTATTTTATTGTTTTGAAACAATATGTTATAGGTGCAGTTCCACACATTACCAATGGCAAACCATGCAGGACAATGACAAAAGGCTCATCCACTGAACCTGTTAACACTGGTGTTCCACCCTGTTATACTCCGTTCCACCCTTATGCTCCTTACCACCCTGTTAGGCAAGTGATTTTAAATAATAATTTGACAGCAACATTAAATTTTTGCCATACTTTTGTCTTATTTTGTGAGGTGAGGAGCACTAACAGCATATACATGTTTTTGAGCCAATTTTTATTGTTATTTACAGCCCATTCTCACCCCAAGGCGTCACTTAACTGACGCCTTGGGAAGCATTTGGACATGCTTCAATATCTGACGCTTTAGGCGCCCTTTAGCGTCAGTTAGATGACGCCCTAGGATCGCGTGTACCCTACCCCCACCCCACACCTAAACCTAACCGCGTCCATAACTGACGCTTTCCTTTAGCGTCAGTTAGATGATGCCGTAGGATCGCGTCATGTAAGTGACGCTAAAGGGCGCCTAAAACGTCAAATATTGAAGCATGGTCAAAGGTGACGCCTTGGGGTGAGAATGCGTTGTTATTTACCATCCTATTTGCAAAGATGGGCACAAAAAGTACCAGTTTTTAATAATCAAGACATATTCTCTTCATCAAAAATTGTTTTGCTTGTTTCAAGAAGAAAAAAGAAAATATAAGATGGCATAAGGGACATATACTATCCAAGAAAAGCTCATTACTGTTTAACATTTACATTATTAACATATTGTGATAACTATGTATATGTCCCTAACAGGGTGGAATATTTTCATGGACATGTCTGAACAATCTACCCATAATTATTATTTTCAGAGTCCCTGAGCTTGACCAATATGTATTCCTTATAGTTAAACATGTCAATATTTTGGTAGAATGCTAAAAACATGAAAATCATGTCCTTTTTTTCCAACACTCATGAAGCCAAAATGTCACCGCATACCAGGAATGACCCTGTTATCAACAATGATATTACCAGATTTGAATTCTAATATTTTCAAACATGTAATTAATTAAAAAAAAAAAGTTTACTAGGTTTGTGTGGTGCATATAACCTATTTACATAAATCAAAAAGCAATTACCCTAAAGACAATTACCTGATACACGTGAACATGATTAGGCGTTGCCTGAATAAAATCTCACTGCTATGTGATTACTTGGGGGAATGCACCCATTCACACCCATTTGATCTCTGTGTACTTGTGGTACAAAAATGAACATCGGTGGGTCAAAATCAAATAAACTGTGTGAAGTAAAACGGTGCCTGTTGAGTAGTTTTGTCATGGATTCCATTTAGGCTATTCCAGAATTTTTATATTTGTAATATATTTGAGTTACAAAAAAAGGTATTAGATGCAACAACCTGGTAACATGAGACTGATGATTACATGCAAGTTGAAAGCAAAGATAAAAGTTTTCACTCTGTCCTGTTAAGCAATCTCGTGTTTGCTGTGTAGTTTTTCTTTCTCTCTCTAATGAATCACAAAACAATAGTTTTCAATTAAGCCACTGTTTGACATTTTGTTTTTTTGTTTAAAAAAAGTTGTATACAGTGTTTAACAAAATGTACACCTAGTGTTTAAGTTCATGCAATACTAGTCTGCAACAAGTTATTGTTTTCCACCGCCAAATAACAGATTCTAGTGTGTTAGTTTTGTGAAAACAGCTGTGACAGCAATAAAAATGTCAATGCCAGCAAAATGTGCACTATGATGAGACATTTACACTTTGCTCTAACAGCATGCTAGTGCTATTACAAAACAATGACTGAATTTGATGCAATAAAAATAACGTGTTTTAGTCAGAGCTGCTGTCTGGGGACTCTAGAACAGTAATTTCCCCAAAAAAATAATAACACCAAAATAGCTACTGAAAACCTTGGCTGCCATGGCACAGATACTACAGATGTAGAGTACAAGAACAGTACAGTGCAACTAAATAATATGGGATATACAGTAAAAAAGCAATCAAGTTGGAGATGTTGTATATTTTATGTGATAATGATTATTAGGACATTATTGCGCTATGATTCATTTGGCATATGCTTTTATCCAAAGCAACTAACAGCATTCAACATACATTGTATTATGGTTCATGCAATCCCTAGAAACTAAAGTGAGAAAAAAGTACTGAACATTGCTCTATGATAACTATTATGAGATAAAAAAAAAAAAAAAAAAAAAAAAAAATGATATTTACATAGCTGGATCGTGCTGGTCTGATGCTTTTTGTCTCTTGAAAGCCACTGAGGAAGTGGTCATCTGTCATGGTGATGTGAGGTTGTAGTTCATTTGAGGACTTGATGAGAAATTATTTTCTCTCTTTGACTGTGTCTCTCTCAGGGTTGTTAGATTGAGTGTCCACATCAGCAATGTTATCCAACCCCAGATGGCGAATCCTGTCAGAAGATATCGGTACTGTTTGGTAAGTCAAACCAAACAGGTACCCAAACCTGTATTAGCTGACTTGGAAAAAAAGAGAAAGCCAGAGAAGAGCAGCTAGGCAGGAGACGAAGTAATGATAATAATATGAGCAGGGTTTATTGAATAAGGAGAGTGAGCCTTTTCTTTTTTATGTGGTCCTCAAAGAGAAAATTTGGCAAAGGTACAATGAGTAATTTCAAAAAGTAAAAGTAATAAAGTAATTTCAGGAATTATTTTTTTTTTCTATGACAAAGGGTTCTAAAAGGTTTTTTTTTTTCTATGACATCTATGACAAAGGGTTATAAAAATATGGCTTCTTATGAAAAAATGTTCATGTGGCTCAATTTACCCTAGGTTAGGGGTAAGTTGATTCAAGTCAGTAGGTAAGTTGCATCTGGGTGTAAACTAACCATTCAACTGAATCTGAATCAAACCAATGCAATTTTAAAGATAATTGACCTATTTTAAAGATGTCTATCTGATGTTAGTAAACAGCAGATGCTTTCCAGATGAAGTGATCTTTAACAGACATCTTGCAGACACATGTGTGCTATCTGGGCACAGTTCCTTCCAAAGTGTCTCATGATGACCGCTGTTGAAAAAAAAAAATGCATTAAAACACTGCCAAACAGTTACAGTGTGAAATAAGTTGCTTAATAAAGCACTACTGTTCTCGATAAAGAGCAATTTGTCTCTTTTAAAGTCCCCGTGAAATCAAAATTGAACCTATTTACTTTGTTAGCGCATATTACTAGTCTTGTGGTGAACAATTAATCCGTGCAAGTAAAAATATATTTAAAAAATCTTTTACCTTGGTAATCTTTAATCAAAATCTGAAAAGTTACTTCCGGTCTGGAACGGTTTCTTTTTCTGATGACGTAGGTTTCACAACTTGGGTGGGGAAACGCTTAACCACTCCCCTCAAACCGTTAGTTTGCTATGAGCGAAAGATGGAGAGGAGGAGCGC